GGGCCGCCGGGGGTGGCGGGAGCTGCGGGGGCCGTGCGGGGGAAGGCCGCCCTGCCCTGCGGTTGTGGCACCCCCAGGGCGGTGGGGTTTTTCCGCTGTTTTTCCCCTGGGCTGCGGCCGTCCGGTTGGTTCTGCCATGCCTTCAGCTGCAGGGCAGCTGGGAAGGGAGGGAGGAAGGTTGTGGGTAAACGCTAAGAGCTGGCGGGGTGATACCTAAAACATCACCCCTGCAGCCCGAGCGGCAGAAGGAGGTGTCAAACGACAGAGAAATGGCTATGAAATACCAGCCAAGTGGTTTATTCCTCTTGCTAGTGATATTTAAAATAGCTGTAGCGCTGAAGCGCATCAGGATGTCGTGAAAGTTGTGATATGTGCTTGCATAGCCCTTTATTAATCGCAAGTCTTGTTCTCACTTTCCTTGTAGTTCATCTGAAACGACGAAAGAAGAGAATGGATATGGGTAACCAACACCCATCCATAAAACGGTTGCATGAAATACAGAAAGAAGTCAAAGAGATTGAACAGCAAGTGGCTGTCTTCAGTGGTCTGTCTACTGATCGAGATTACAAGAAATTAGAAAGGAGTCTTACTAAACAGCTTTTTGAAATAGATTCTGTGGACACCGAAGGAAAGGGGGACATTCAGCAAGCCAGAAAGCGAGCTGCTCAGGAAACAGAGAGGCTGCTTAAGGAACTGGAACAAAATGCAAACCATCCGCGCAGACTGGAAATAGAGGCTATATTCAAGGAGGCACAGTCACTTGTGGAACGTGAGATTACACCTTTTTACAAAGGAGGTAACTGTATAAGTGAAGAATTTGAAGAAGGTATTCAGGACATTGTATTGAGGCTTACCCAGGTGAAAACTGGAGGGAAAGTTTCTTTACGCAAAGCAAGATATCGCACTCTGACAAAAGTATGTGCTGTTCAGGAGATTATAGAAAGCTGTGTAAAGCAACAGCTGTCCCTGCCACTCTCTAATGATGCACATCCTTCTGTCTCCAAAATTAACTCTGTAATGTGTGATGTGAACAAAGCAAAAGGAACTCTCATTACGCTCCTAATGGGAGTGAGTAGTAATGATACCTGCAGGCATCTATCCTGTGTGCTTACAGGCCTCATTGCTGATTTGGATGCTTTAGATGTCTGTGGTCGCACGGAAATAAGAAATTACAGAAAAGAAGTAGTGGAAGAGATCAATAAATTGCAGAAATACCTGGACTTGGAAGAAGAAGCAAATTCTACTCACGCTTATGATTTGGCACAAAATCAGTCCATTCTAAAAATAGAAGAGATCCGCAAGAAAATGAAGGAAGTTAATTCTTTACTGTTAAAAACAGAGAATGCTTCTGATTTGTATTTGGGATCCAAAGCAGAATTGCAGGGACTAATTGCCCACTTAGATGAGGTGAGTCCAGGAAAAAACCCCTGTATTAGAGAAGCCAGGAGGAGAGCAGTAATAGAAGTTCAAACTCTTATAACGTATATTGATTTGAAGGAAGCACTTGAAAAAAGGCAAATGTATCCCGAGCAAACTGCTGCCGAGCACCAGTCTCATAAAGCAGTTGAGGTGATTTCATTTGATGGAAACAGAACGGATAAAAATTACATGAGGTTGGAAGAACTTCTTACGAAACAACTTCTAGCACTTGATGCTGTTGATCCACAAGGTGACGAGCGGTGTAAGGCTGCCAGAAAGCAAGCAGTAAAGCTTGCGCAGAATATTCTTTACTATCTGGACATGAAAACAGATGAATGGGAGTACTGAAACAGCCATGGCCTAACACGGAAGAGCATTTTTTCCTTTGGACTGTGTGCAGATCATTGGCAGCACATCATAAAAGTGGTGTGTTCTGTGCTCGCTTAAATCACGGAGATTGCATAAGCGGTTGACTTGGCTATATGTCTGCTATCCCACGCAGTCACCCACTTGCCATGGCAACTGTCACTACACCATCAGCAATTCTGGTCATTGCCATAAGCAAAGAAGTGCGATTCTCTGAAGGAATAGCTTAATACTTGATCAAATGGCTTCTTTTTTTTCTTTTTCCTGTTTTTGTTTTAATAACCTTGTGCAATGTTCGGTGAATGCAGATTTTTCAAAGATGCAGAAACTTCCTTATGATACAGTACTGGCAAAACTATTTAAGGAAGACTGGACGTGAAAATTAGTATTGAGGCATAAGGCTCCATCCAGCAACTTCACAGCAGTCTGGATATACTCTTAATGTGCTGTTACGACAGAAAGTATTAAGGGACAAATCCTGCTGGCTCTTGGGTTGTGCTTGATTTATTCCAGCCATCACACCTTTCTGGGTGTTTAGATTTCTCAGTTAATGGAGCTATAATGCCAACTGCAAATTAGCATTTACATAGGCAGAGCCTATTATGTCTATTTTTTGTAAAACCTGAGCCCTCTGATTTGCAAAAACAGGTCTTCTGTTGGTGGAAACTCTTTCAAATTATTGCTTTAACGTTCTGACGCTTGGAGAGGAAAATCTGTACATATATACTGACCAGATAAATGGGGTTTTGAGGATTTCACACTGCCATCCATAAACCCCTGAAAACTGCACTGAACTTTTATTTAGTGGCTGCTTAGGTGTCTCTTTAAACTCTGCTGTTAGATCTGGGTTTGACTTGTCTTTTCACATTCAGTGAAAACAGAAACAGAATTCACTTTGAAGTGAAGGAGCATTTTGGAATTATTTTTGTAAAATTAGGTAGCTAGCTATAAAGATGTCCCTAATGATGTAAATGTGTGTTATATATTGCATACTGGTCAGGTGTGGCTTCAAGCGTGTCTTGGAAAAGACTTGTGGCAAATGTCTCTCCTTGCAACTCATCACTTAATTGTTTTAGTAACTTTGTAAATAAGCTTGCTTGTACTATTGTATGCACCTACCTTTTTATTTGTGGCTGCTAGTGCCAATCACATTTCTACTATAGCATGTGTTTTGGCATTTTTTTGAGAGCATGGCATTAATATGAATTAATTATAAAGATATATTTAATTATGGATACTTTGCACTTAGCTCTTTCATGTTGAGTTAATGAATTATTGTTCTATATATGATGATTTGCACCACCGTAAGGAGTGAAAAACATTTCGGATGTTAAAATAAATATTTTTAGATCTATTTTTGACTGATGAGAGAAGACAGTACTGTCTGTGAGAGACAAGTGCCTTTATGACACCACTAACTTGCACCGTCATATGTAGATACAGGAACTGTTTACTGGCAGCTTGATACATTTGTGATCTTTGCAAACTGGATTTCTCACATATATATAATTCTACTATAATATAGGTCAAATGAGCATAATACGATAGGTGACAATTGTTCTATAGAGTCCTGAGAATGAGTATCAAATGTGGGAAATACGGATTCTGCTTAAAAAGCAATGCATTGATGTGGAGATGGGGGACTTTGGGCAGGTCTTCTGTGCCTGTTGCTGCAAGAAGGAGATAATATGTTTGCTCCATAACATGCTTTGAGATGTTGATGAAAGGCTGGGTAACTTCAGAGTGTGAATATATTCTGTTTGTGATCATACAGGTGATTGCTTTGCAATTTTACTTGCCAAAACCGATCTATTTTTTCAATTAAGTACATTGCCTAAGGCATAATTTGGCAGTGACAGAATGTTTGTTGGAGGATTCTCTCTGCTCCTTCAGAGATATAACCCTGTTGAATTTATCTCTCCTTACCTCAAAAAAATCATTTCCCTAGTTAAAATTCCAATCTATATTTATATATTAGGTGGCTAACACAGAAAATTAATGATGTTATACACCTGTTATTTTACTCATTTCAAGCTTTCTACATGTTTGAACTGCAACTTCTGATTTGCACTTACATTTTTAGGAAATATAAGAATTTGATAGTGTAATGATATTCCTTTTTCTTTAGTATCTCTGTCAGGTCTGCAGTGGTTACTTGTAGATTGTTTAACAGTTTAGTGTCTGTGTTCTTTGGAGGTTACATGTAGCTTTATAAATGTTTGAACCTCTTACATAAAAATGAGTAAGTATAGTTTTCAGATCTGTTCTATTTTAAATTTGTATGTCTTTTAGCTTTTCTGAATGGTTACACCTCCGTCTCTAAGAAGGCACATGTATAAGGTTAGTGTAATTTTGACTAACTGAGTGGAGTTCAGTAGCAAGATATTATGTGGATTAAGCTTTTTTCCACTGTTTTCTAACCTAATAAATTGACTATTTACATTTTATTATAAAATCCTCATCTGGAATGGGATTAATTCACAGTTTTTGCATGAATGAAAATAATAAACTAAATGTGCTTAACCAAAAAAAAGAAAAAAAAGCACAGATTTCTCAAAATCTTGCTTTTGTGCTGAAGAATGTAATTTTTCTGGTTTTTATATCCAAAGATTGAGGGACACACAACTTCTCTTTCCGATGCGGCGGGCTAAAATAATCAGCAAAATGTAAATGGACCAAATTGCAAAAGCCTGCATTTTAGTACTATACTGAAATGTAGTATCTTTCCTGTGTGCTCTGTAACCTACCTTAGAGCAAAAGAAATGATTGGATGTTTGGGGGAGAGGTAATTCTACATCGTGATTCCTATTTGTTAATTGTATTTGTTTTTAAACTAATTTTCTTTAGTTATTTCAGTGTTTATTTTTGTTGTTTACCACTCAAAATCATTTTTCTATGTTACCAGTTTGGAAGAGATTTTTATTAAGTATGGTTCCTACTTTTTCAATTTAACAGAAATTAGCGTATGTGCTCCTTATGGTGTATATGTCATGATTTATTGCTGTGTAGGATATGGCATTTGTATATACAAATTCAAGGTTAAATATTGCAGTGTTATGTTCTTGATTATTAATAAAAATACATTGCCACCTTTTACTAGGTATTCATTTGAATGTTATGCCCTGCTGCCTTTCTCTATTTATTTTTGAATGTGAGCTATCAGAATGTAAATGATTTTTGTCTTAGAAAAAGTGTTTTTATTAAACATATAGACATAAAACTCTCTTTTTTTTTTCCCTCCTTCTTTAAAAGTTTGCTTTTTCACTGCTGTATTTATGACAATAAAGTTCTTTGCGTGGAAACCACTCCTACCTCTACTTGTTAAATGTGGTGCCTTTTGGTTTTCTCTGCCTTCAACCTTGCATTACAGTCATTGCCTCAGTTGCTGCTTGCGTTCTTTCTTCAGCGATGGCTTTGCCTGCTCCTGGGCTTCAGGCGGATGATCGCTGTAGAAATGCTTGTGGCTGTGTAAGATCTTGCCACTTCTCTGTTGAAGGATGCTGCCTTAACAGACGAGCTTGCAAAACTGATGGTATGCAGTCTCTCCATGTGCAAAGTCAACGTGGATTATGAACCTTTAGTAGTGGGAGTTAGGCTGATCTGGTTTTAAACTGTGTGGATGAGGCATGTTCATATGATTGTTCTGATGGCTCAGTACGTTTTCTCAAGATGCAGTGAGCCAAGTTATCAGCTCACTGCTGATGGAAATCAGAAATTCTATTTCTGTCCAGAAAGCCGCTGGCTTTGTGCAGTTTCTGCTGCTTGGCCAATTGCTATGAGCTGATTTAATCCAATAAAACAGAAGAAAACAACAAAAATGGAGGAGGGAGTTTTCTGTGGGTTTAGTGAGTCAAATTGGCTTGGAGAAAAGCAGCATGTGGGCTGGAGCTACTGCAAAATGAATGGGTGGGTCATGCGGCCATGGCTTAGGGAGCACATTTTAAGATTTTCAGTAGCAGTAAGTCATTAGATCAACCTTCTGCATAGTTAAATTTCTGGAGGAGAAAGAAGGAGAGAAGGTGGCACTACCAACTCCTACAGACAAGTAGGAATTTGCTGCTTTAGTAATGGGGTATGATGAAGCCAATACAAATGAATCATGCACGGAAAATAAACCAGTTGCTTTCAGTTGCTCTTTTGTGTTACACAGTAAGTGTTCACGCAATAAAAAGCACAAGTGGTCATGTCGATGTACTACACACAATCTGGAAAAATCTTACCCAGAAAACATAAGGATAAGAATAAGGTTTATAAAGGTTGAATGTTCCTATAGGTAACAAGTTCACTGTATCTTCTTTCTCTCCCTTTTAACAACATAGCTTGTTTCAAGGAAATATATTCTTCAAAGATCACTAAATCATCTGGGCAATGGCCCTCGATGTTGCTCAGCTAGCTGCTGACCTGTTTGTCTTGATCAGCTGTTTACTCGTCAAAGGAGAGAATTTGCCTTGCTTAGAATATTTTGTGTGTGTTTGGGACAGGCAGATTTTGGTGCCTGAAATGGTTGAACTAGAAAAGCTCTGTGTTTTATTTCCATATAGGCGTATCCTCTCCTTTGGAGAATTCTCAGCTGAGAACTTGAAGGAGCAGAAGGACTTAAGTACTGATCTCATGGATCAAAGGCCTGGGGGTTTATTCCTGCTAGAGGAAACTGCTAGCAGAGACATGACCAAATGTTCAGAGCTGATGTTTTGAGCGAGCTCTGTGCCTGTTCCCCTGTCGCTTATGACCTTTCATTGAGAAAGTGGACTCTTGGGGGAATATTCCCTGAAACACTGTCAGGCTTTTTGTTTTAGATCAAACTGAGAAATTACGTTTAAAGCTCTTGCTGAGCCACAGTGGGGCATGTACTAGTTGTTGACTGGTCTGGGTATCATTCTGTTTTGCTACGTAAAACAGTAATGTACATAATGCTTTCGGTTACACTAGTAGGCATGTCCATGTCAGCAGAAAGCTGGTCGTTAACTGAAGAAGCTGAGGATGAGGTGAAGGCTTTGCACAACGCTCTGTCCTTTCTCTCTGCAGCATTTGGTTCTGGGGACTGCCAAACAGATGAATGCATGAGTGGCACTGCTTGTCAGT